CTCCGCTTGTCTCTTCTAGCACCGGCCCCTGCCACCCCCGCCGCATCATTTATACCCCGGCCGGGCCTGGCCTCTCCTCGTCCGCCCCGCCCCGCCCGGCTCCAGCCCGCAGACCTTCCGGATTCTTTCTTCTTCGAGGACTTTTTTCCCCCCCAAAGTCCCAAACCTCTCCATCCTGTCCCAGCTCGTACTGCCCATATAGAAGGGCAGCTCTGGGCCAGGAAGCTGACCTTACTCCAACCCAACACACACACACACACACACACACACACACACACACTTTGTCGGCCTGGCTGCCGCCAAACTGCCCATTTCCAGGGCGCTCCTGGCCCCACGCCCGAACGGTCCACCAGAGTCCAGCCGCGCGGCGCAGCGAAGAGGCGCCTCCAAGAGCCCAGACGGGCTCCAGGGAGGGTGAGAAAATGCCAGAATGGGCCCCAGGTGACCCCCACCTCCCAACCGGCGGCTGGTGTGGAGATGGGGGAAGTAACTGCCTGCCCAGTCCAGGAGGCCTGGGGTTTCCTCCCCGCGGTGGTCCTTCTTGCCTTCGCTTGAGAAAGACAACTTGCCCCTCCCCCGCCCTCCGCCCTACCCGCCAGTCTAAGGAAGATTCCTGAATGTATTTTAGAATAATAAATGTTCAGGACTGCACACCGGCCTTAGGAGTCAGTTCACTTCTGCTGGGCCGCAGACGCCTACAAGCCCCATTCCCCATAACGATAGCCATCATTTTTGAGCTCCTACTATGTGCTAGGCCAGATAAAAAGTTAGCTCATGGTATCCTCACACCCTACGGAACAGGTACTGTTACGCTGTTTCACCGAAGAAAACGAGGGTCAGGGGTTCAGCTCAAGACAACACAACTAGTTGGGGTCAGAGCCATTCACTCACTCGTTCTATTATCCATCACACAAATATTTACTGCTGGCCTACTGTGTGCCAGGCACCGCGTCTGACTTCCCAGGCTCTTAACCACTTGGCTACTTTGTCTTCCTTCCTAAAGTTTCAGGACCTGCGTGCCCCGGGGTTAGTAGTGCCCCGCCCCCGCGTCCCCTCTGCTCCCCTCTCCTCCCCTCTTCTCTCCTCTCCTTTCCCCGCGCTAGTAAACATCGTGAATAATGCATGGGGAATCCTGGGACCGCGCCGCGCCGCCCTCCGGGTTGGGAGTGAAGCCGCGCGCCCAGCTGAGCCCACCATCCCCGGACGTCGCCACCACTCGCCGAGCTGCCTTCCGGTTTCAGGGATCCGTGTAGTCGGAGAGATCGGCCCCCGAGCCAGGGGGTGTGAGTCAGGATTAATCAGAATGTTAACGGGGTTGGGGAGGGGAGGAAGGGACCCCCCCCACCTCGGCCTAAGAGAAAGCAGTGCCAGGTCCTGCCAGTCCTCCTTGTCCGCTTCAGAGCCAGCCCTCTTGCCCGGGACCTGTCCTCCAACCCGGGGAGAGGATCACCCAGGTGCGGGAAGACAAGGGCGGCCCTTTCACTAACCCTTTCTGGGCCTGTCTCCTGAGCTTGAAAGTGGGAACAGCATTGCTGTTTGCCTTCTCGGGTTCTGGGGAAGATGTTTCCAGCTGGAGTAGAACGGAAAGCACTGAGTCAACCTCCTCACAACCTGATGCTTGGGGGTGCAGGCCCTGCCCTCAGATTCAAAACTCATCTCTGCCTCTTGCTTGTGGAGAGGCCAGCAGCCACCTCAGTGTTTGTCCTGCAGTTTCCTCATCTGTTAAACAGACATCACAGTTTCTCCTCCACTGATTGTTGTGAGGAATGCACTGAGAAGCATTTGGCACAGTGCCTGGCACCTTGAAATCATGGAATAAATGTGTCTTCCTCTCTTCTTCCTCCCTTGACTTAAAGAGAAAGCCTTCGGAAGCAGGAGCCGCCTGGGTCCTCCCCCTGGAGAGCAGTGGTTTGTCCGCAGGTGCAAACTGGTTCTTTGCTCTCCTTCATTCGTGAGCACCTGCTTTGCGCCAGACTCCATGGTGATATGAATCACCATGCAGATGTGAATCAGACTGCATCCCTGCCCTCACAGAATCACCAGTCTAAAATCTACTGCAGGAGATTGGCTGTAAACTTACACTGCAGTGAGGGGAAGCAGATCCATACACAAAGACACAGAGCAAAGCTGGTGTGATTCTTGAAACACGGAGTTCGCATCAGAAGCGTGAGCCTCAGGAGGGCTGGGTTCGGGACAGTATGGAAACACTGGGTCTATGTGACCTTGGCTGGGCCTCAATTTACCCACAAGAGAGTGCTGGACTAGACAATTGCTAAATGCTTCCAGGTCTAGCAAAAGACTAGCATTCTGGTTCATGTAAATGAAGCACATTTTGCGCAAGTCAGGCACTTCTCTCCAGGAGCCCTCAACACCCTAGAAGCTAAACGCAGCATTATTTTATCACTCACCAGTATTTAGGAGCACACATTCTTGTTTCCCGCCCAGTGCTAGAAGCCAAAGGGGAAAGGGTGGGGAAAGCTAGGGAGCCTGGGTCCTCCAAGGAGAAGAATCTGTAACTTTCCTGCCTTCCCGGTGCCCTGAGACTGACACTCACTCCATAACACCCTTGTTGTCTGTGAAGCTGAACCTCCAGAAATGGATGGGAAGATCCACTCACATCCATTCTTCTCTGCTTTGTCCCCTCAAGAGCCTGGGAGATACTAGGCAGGGATGAGGTCAGGCAGGGGTCAGAGACAGAGCCAAACCAAGTAGCCCCTTAGGCCTCTAGTGCGACCTTTAGCTCACCAGCCCCCACTCCAGCATCCTGAGGCATTAGGATCACAAATCAAAAACCATGCTTGCATCGGGCAACCTGTGTTCCCTGGGGTTCTCCCACCCTTTCCTTCAAGAGGATTTATGAGCAGCTCTGGGAATCCAGCAGTAAGATGACACCCATCCTTAGGAACCAGTCTTTCTGAGAAAGCCCTGGAGAGGACAGACTGGAAAAGAACGTAGGCAAAGACCACTCGGAAAGCAAGTGGAAGGGGAGCCCCAGAACACAGTTGACAGCATCCTCTACACTTTCCCAGATTCACAAACTTAAATTCTGTCAGGGGCAAGTCTGGTAAAATTAATGAGCTGGGTGTATAAAAGAGAGTACAGTTGTGACTATTGTAAACTAGAGAGAACATCTCCCCACCCTCATCCCCAAGATATTAAGTTACAGCTAAAATACACACACACACACACACCATGTATGACCCAAACAAAATATGTCTGAGGGTCCAAGGAAGGACACATGGGCATTCATGCCAGTGACACTAAAGAGGTTATTTTCTTCATTGTACATTCATTTCAGGATACCTACTGACAGCTGGGCCTTGTGATGGGTTCTGCAAGGAGAAAGCACATTGCTTCAGGAGCTGAGAGTCTAGTGGGGACATGGAACCACTACATACAACCTTAAGTCAGGACACCAAGCACGATGTTTTCCAGAAGAGCTAGCCCTAAACAAATGCTGGGGTGGGGAGGCAGAGGCCTTTTTGCTGTGGGCCAGCGGTTTCCAGCTTTACTATGAGTAATCATCTGCTACCTCTTAAAATACAGCATCCTAGGACCACATACAGAGATTTGGCCACAAGGATGAAGGTCCTTTTTAATAGACAGCCCTGATTTGCATGCAGGTGATCTGGGACCCTCAAATTGAAAAGCTTGCTCTGAGTACTTGTTGTCTGTGGATGCTGATGGTCGTGGTGGTAGTGATGATTTTAAAATCCTGACCTAATTGTGTAAGTTTCACCAAGACACAAAGAGAGACCTTTCTTTCCTCCTTTGAGTCTTTTCCATCTTTCTCTATCATGTCTTGGTAAGAAAATGATGTTTTATGGTCTCTGATTCTTGAAGGACCCTGGGATTTCTTTGACGATAAGTCTTACCTGTCCCTGTGTCTCCAGTACCTGTGTCTACAGGTATAGGCAACACGTAGGAGCTTAATATAGTCATTTATGTTGAATGAGTGAGTGCATGAATAATATCCTCCCCAGGACTCTAGCCTGTGATGATGGTGACACCAAGAGGAGCCATTGGTGGGGTGGTTCCTGTGTGCCAGGAAGGAAAACATGGATATGTGCTTTAGAAGTATTGTACACTGAATCCCCACATCAAGACTGTGAAGTTGATATTATTAGCTCCATTTGATAGATGAGAAAACTGAGGCACAGACTGAGTTGCCCAAGGCCACACAGTTAAGTGTAGTAGAGTGACAATTGGAACCCAGGTGTCTGACTCGCAAGGCCATGATAAAGTTAACGAACATTCTAGGCTGGCACTGGCTTCCCCATCACCCAGGCCCAGGGGCTGATGGAGTGGGGTGAGCCGGCTTTCACTTCTTTCTCAGAAGGCCTTGCTTCCAGAGGCTCGGAGTCTGGTCCCGCTCCAAGCCTGCTTCCGGCTGAGGCCACAGGGGAAGCCAGCAGCGACCCTCCCACCTCCATCCCTGGCCAAGCTCCACCTCCCAGAGCAGGGGAGAGAGGCGAGGGGTGGAATGGGAGATGGCCCCGATAGACCGCCCGAACTCAAGATGCCATAGCGGGGAGGCAGCTGGCGGGGCTGCGTGGCCAGGTGTTCGAAGCCGCCTGCCTCGCCTTCCTCTCTCTCCCTTTCTCTCGTCTCCTTTCACAAACTTCTCACATGTACCCGCCGCCTGCGCAGCTGCTGCGGACTCGCCTGTCGGCCGCTCGCCTCGCATTGTCTGCACGGGCTCCGACGATCCGAGATGCCCAGAGGGACTCCAGAGCCTAAGGCCGAGCATCCTTGAGGGACCGGCACGCGCCAGGAGCACTCCCCTTTCCCTGGGGTCCCTCGCCCCGCGGACCAAGCGCTGGCCCTCAGGCGTTTGGGCTCCACGCACGTCCCTGCCTCCTCAAGGCCTCAGTTTCCTTGAATGAAAAATGAGAGGGCCAAGCCAAGACATTCCCAAAAGCTCTTCTCCA